CGCCTGTTTACAGTATAGTGTCCCCGTCACTATACTGGGGCATTAGGACCCACATGGACCACGGGGTGAGCGCCCCCTGCTGGCTCCACTAACACCTCTTCCAGCAGCACTAACAACAATGTTAAACCTGGAGTGAATCAGGCTGCTGCACACCAAGATATTGCCATGACTATGGGAACACCTTATATAAATAAAGATACTGCAGGAGAATTTACACGTTGAGCCAAAAATTCTAGTGATAATAATCAGAAACTCCAGGAGGCCCGAGAGCTCAAACATGAGGGGTCTCCTCTCATTCGTGATCCCAACCACCTGGCGCCGCATGCAGGCCGAACCCAGTACTGCAGACAACCGCCCAGTCATCCTGCCGGAAAGAATCTGGGATCAGAAAAACCGCTTTCTCTAGACATGTTCTCTAAATCGACCCCGGTGTCGATGCCTTTAATTGTGCACTCGACTGTGACTGAAGGTCATGTTCCTCATCTACCGACAAACACGTCCAGCTAGCCACAACAGGAACACATTAAGACCGAAAAAGACCGAAGCCTTTTCCTTTCCGCGTCCAGGGTAAACTGTGTGTTGGATTGTGAGTAAAACCGTTAAGAAAAACAAGCCCTCGTTATCACGGTTCTTATTACTGTATCTGCACTGAAAGGCCAGGCTGCCTCCGGCTCCGCAGTTACTGACGAGCCCGCAGTTTCCGCGTCTCCTCAAAGTCCGCGAAGGTGCGCGCCGCCGCCAGGCGTGGCCTTGTATGTCGCGGGCCGGTCTGGAGTTACCTTGCCGCGGTTCAGCAGCTTGACGAGGTGCTCTTTGTATTTTTTCGCCGGTTTCTGTTTGTTGTCATCCCTCTCCGATTTCGAGCTGGGCGCCATTTTTCGCCACTCCAAGCTGCCTGCACGCTCCCGCCTATCCATGAAAGTCGCTCTCCCATTGGCTTGCCGCATACCCGCCAAGCTTCTCTATTGGGCAAAAGACCCGTCAATCAAGGCTAAAGCTCCGGTCTCCCAGCTCTGTTAAGATTGGTCGTACCAAGTCGCTCCTCCTACACAAACGTCGCTTAGATTGGACAGTGCTTGGTGTCAATCACTGTTGTTCCACCCCCTATTTACCCCAAACCCTACCCCCCCCAGTCCCCACTGAGCTCAACAAACTACAAACCCCCAAAGAAGAGAAGGCAGGGACATCAAACTCACCAGCAGTAGACAGTAAGAGGATGTGTTTCTGTATAACTAGAAGAGAAACACCTACACATTTATCTGTAAACTGCATATATACAAAACTGTTTTGATAGACTAGCAAAACTTCACCTTTATGCATTTCATTGTGAATGTTAGATATAAGGGGTTTGATATTCTCTTATACTTTGCGAGATGTACATGTAAATACATGGTCTTTAAAATTCATGTTAGTTATACTGTATAGATATCACACCTACAGTATACAATACAAAAGGGTCCAGTGCTATTCCCTCCTTTAATGCTTACGAGTTTGAAATGCAATAGTACTTAAACTCCATCAAAAGCCTGAAGAATAAGGCAAAAAACACAACTTACATATGTAAAAAAAATAACTTGTTGCCAGAGGCAATTACAAGCCAGAGCACATGTTTGTTCTGGGTTTTTTTTGTTCACTTTTTCACCATTTCTCCTTCGTTTGGATTATTTGATATTCAATAAAACTTAAAAACAAAGCCTGACCTTTGCTTGCTGGTACCCATTTGCTCAGTGATTCTCATCCAACTCTTTGTGTAATGAAGGGCCTTCCTGTCATCTTTTGGAGCGCCTCAGGGCCTCCAGTTATCCACAGGTGCTCCCTCAGGGGCTCCTGTTATCCACTGAGGCTCCTCAGGGCCTCCTGTTATAAAGTTGGGGCCCCTCAGGGCCTGCCGGTATCTATTAGGGAGCCTCATGACCTTGTTTCTCAGGAAGTCCTGCAGTATCCTTTGGGTTAACGGTGATCTTTCACAATGCTGAAACCTCTGCGACTCAACCCCTCAAACTAGTTTTGCACCAGGCCCAAGGGGGAGTGGGAGCGTGGCTGCTGAGGTTCGGATGAGATGCTTTCTTTTTCAGAAACTCCCCCAGACCAGGAGCGGCGTAGTTACAGTTACAGCGTAGAGGCAGGGTCCAGCTCACGCGTCCAGCCCACAGCAGATGGACTATGCCCTGGGCCCTGACCCGGCCAGCGCCACTCTCCCAGAACCAGGTGCCCACACAAACACTCGCTGCTCTTCTGTTAAAATGCCATGTAGCAGCAGCAGAGCCTGCCGCCCTGGAGCACCCCCTGCTGGTCAGGGGCAGCTCCGACACCCCCAACTCACCATGACCTGTTCCTGGAAATCTGCTTCGGCATCCGAGCTGGGCAAACTGTTCCCTACCCCCGCACCTCTGAGCGCACAGCAGGCGTCCTCAGGCGATCAGCTGAGAAAAGCCGTCTGGAGAGGGAAGTGATTTAGGTCAGAGAGAGAGCTCCCACTGCCAGCGGGGAGAAATAGAGACAGAGGTGCACTTCCTACTGCACTGTGACAGATACTCTGGGATTAGAGAAACACTCTTCCCAAAATTCAGAAATCTAATCCCAGAGTTCCCACACCTGCCGGAGTCACAACAGGTCCCAATCCTACTGGGAGAGGGAGGAGGGAACTCAGTTGAGCTGGCAGCCCAGTATGTGATCTCCTGTCACAGCCTGAGGAACAGTGAGTCTGTCTCCCAATAATGCTCCAGCCGCCTACAGTATATGTCAATATTTTATAATATGTCTTTGTTGTAAATGTCTGTAATATGTCTGTAGATTTTACTTCTATTTTTTGTTTTGTTCTATGTTAATTTTATTATTTTTATTTGCTTTGGCAACACTGATTGTACCCATCGGTCATGCTAATTAAGCACCTTGAATTGAATTGAATTGAATTGAGAGAGAGAGAGGAGGGAAGGTGTCTGATATCTTTTATTGTGAAGTTTTTAAAAACGAGCAGTAAAAAGTAAAAACCAGGTGTACAATATACAACCTCATGACGTCTCAACAGGAAAAAAAAACATCACCTCCCCAAAACCACCCACTGCAGACATTTGTCATAACCATCCGCAGGTGAACACCAGCCTCGTCACCCAGGCACAGCGTGTGCTCGCCAACCAGCCATGTCGCCACACATCCAGAGACACACACTCACACACACACACGGCCACATCACCACACATCCAGGGACACGTGCACACACACACACACGGCCACATTGCCACACATCCAGAGACACACGCATGCGCACACACACACACACACTCGGTCATGTCACCACACATCCAGGGACACGCGCATCCACACACACGGCCACATCGCCGCACATGCAGAGACACACATGGACACACATACACTATACCACATCGCCCAACATCCAGAGACACGCATGTACGCATGGCCACGTCGCCCCACATCCAGAGACACGCGCACACACACTCGGCCACGTCGCCACGCGTCGAGAGACGCGCGCGCGCACACACACACTCGCCCTCAACCTTGCCAGCAGACCACACCACAGGGCCCCTGAGGAAGATGTACAGGGAGAATTAAAAAACCAGCACGCGGGCACAAGACAGAGGACTCCTCCACGCGCCCTCTGCTCTCCTTACTGGGAATGTTCCAAGCTGAACTGGGACACAGCTGTAAAAACACGGCTCCGCCTCCGGCCCAGGCGGACACGGACAACCGGACCGCGCGCTCAGCCGCGCAAGGGGTGCCAGTCAAGTCTCTCCCCCCCCCCGGAGTCCGCTCGCATCCGCAGGAATAAAAATCAGACTGAGGCGGAAAAAACTCCGGAAAACTAGAGGAGTCAGCCTCTCTCTGCCTTCACCCGTAGAGAACGAAAAAAGGGAAAAAGTCTTTTAAAGAATTTTTATTTTTTTTTAAAAAGCAGAACGAAGGGAGAAGGATTTAAGGGGCTAAGGGGTAGGGGAAAAGGGTGTGTGTGTGTGGGGGGGGGGGCACCCTTCTCTTCTCTCGGTCTTTCACAGGACAAAAATAAAAACAAAAAAATAAAAATCAAACTCGAAATTAAAACTCCAAGTTGCAGTCTGGCTGTGGATGAGCAGAATGGTGAATACCCCTCTGACTTTCCGGCCCGATCCTCCTCTCCGCAGGGCGGCTGTCCCGTCCCATCCCATCACCTCACTGCGTCTGCAACACAGAGACGTGGTCACTGCCGACCGGCCGATCCCGGCCTGGGGCAGAGTGTCCGTCGAGCTGTGCCAGGCGCGTGTGTAGGGAAGATTAACCCAGCCCTGCGCTGGTCTCCGCTTGGGAATCCCGGGCCGCGCGCGGACTGCCCCCTGCAGGGAGCTACAGGGCCCGTGCCTGAGAATCCGTGCTGTGGTGCGTCTCAACCTCCGCTGCAGTTTCGGGGGGAGACTGCAGACTGAACCCTCTAAGACCAGCTGGAGGCTCGGCCCTGTGCCAGCTCAGCGACCGGGCCCGTGTGGTGGCGAGAAGCCATAGGTACCTGCTGTCCCTGCTGTGGGGGGGCTGTCTGTCCGGCCGGCTGGCCCCCTGTCTGTCCGTAGTAGGCGGCCTGCTGCCTGTAGTACTCGGCCCACGCCGCGCTGTAGTCAGTCTGGGCACCGGAGGCAGGGGGCGCTGTGCCAGCTGCCTGGGCTGAAGGAAAAGAAAAGTAAGGCCAATCGCCCTTAGACTCGGGGAGCTCTGTCCCACACGCCCAGCGCCGGCTCTTACCCAGCTTCTTGTAATACTCCTCCCAGGCCTTGGTGTAATCTGGCTGGCCAGCAGGCGCCTGGCTGGCCTGAGGCTGGTCTGTGGGCACGGGGGCTCCTGTTGGGGCGGCGGGGGGCTGTCCAGGTACCGGGGCGGGAGGCTGCTGGTAGTACTGGGCATAGTAGGCTGCCCAGGCTGCACTGGGATCTGCAGCAGCTGCTGCCTTGCCTGCAACACCGAAACACAGGCAGAGACTTCAGGAAAGACCCAGGATTGACAAGACACTGCTGTCCCTCTCCTCTCACACTCCCCCTGAATTCACACACTGACACACACCTGACTGGACTGGAGACACTGCTGTCCCTCTCCTCTCA